ACCTTTAGCAACCAGTCACCGAGCGGTAATGATATGCTCTAACCTCTGCCAACCAATCACAATCACTTTTTCTTCTTTATTTTTCAAAAGTGCCCAGAAAACTGGTAGTTGTTGTTATTTGCAATTTGGTTTAAAAAAAATTGGACTGCTCAGTCTAAATGCCCAGGCCTATTTTTTTTGTCCTAGTCCGGGCCTGGATAGGGATTACATCTGCCTCCTACCCACATGATCTTGGGGAATGGTGAGCACTCCAAATAGTTTGTAACTACTCTATAGCACAGATCAAAGAGATCTGGAGGACTCTACATTTCCTAGATCTCATGGGAAGACGGATGACATCACTCTCACCTAGGTGACGTGGGCAGAGGCAAAGATAAAGGTAAAAATTATACAACTCTTTTCTTTTTACAAGTTATTTTAAAAAATTTTTCAGGAAAGCAGAATTGTCATGAGAGAAAGGTGGGCCTGTTGTCACCGACCTCCATCTGTGGATCCACTGAAGTCACTAACCTTAAAACAGTATTTAGACTAGGAAAGACAGATTTATTTGCAGTCCAGGACATTGACTCTGTCTGCATGAAAGATAGCCAACTAGCATATATTTAAAGTGGTTCTAACGGCAGAACGTCTTTTAACTTAATGCATTACTTGCATTAGGGTAAAAAATGTGCCCTCTAACCCCCCCCCCCATATAGTTACCGGAGTCCTATCTCGATTTAGCAGTGTGTCCGTCTGCAGTGGCGCTAGTCTCTGTTGCTCTCCTCACAGGACATAGAAGCAGCAGCGGAAGCCATTAACACCTGTTGCTGTCAATCAAATCCTGTTACTATGGACACACACAGCATTACTCAGGAGCGAGACTGCACGTCTGCCTCCAAAGCAAGCGGTTTGCTACAGGGGGCAGACACAGGAGAGGAGCTGAGTTGGCCAGCAGGGGACCCCAGAAGAGGAAGTTTGGGGCCATTCTGTATAATACCACTGCACAGAGCAGGCAAGGATAACATATTTGTTATTTTAGAAAAAAATCATGCCTTTACAACTGCTTTAAGGACGGGTCAGCAATGAGAGTATCCATATTTCTCTCATGACATGATATTTAAGGTTTTCAAACTCATGTGAAGCCTAATTATGTACACTCATACTTTCTAAAGCAGCCTTTCTCAACTAGGGTACCTTGAGGTTTCTTCAGGGGTGCCTTGGGAAAATGTCTAAAAATTGCTCAAAACTTGTATACAAGCCAGCGGGTGGATCAAGCCTGCCTGTTAGTTACACAAAGCCACAGGTTTTCATTGTGCATCATTACAACCTTCTAGTCACCAGCGTCCTGACAACCAATGACGTCATCAGTTGATAAGGAGGATGTTGGCTGCCTGCACAGCATCTTAGTTTGACCTTCCCCCGCCCCTCTCCATCATTTCTGGGGTCACATTAGCTCAGTCATGGAGAAAAATTGAGGGAGAAGAGAAACATTGGAATACTAGTCAGTACCAGTGTGCAAAAGTGTCTTTGCTTTGGAAGAATAAATCAGCTCTAATGTTGGATGTCCTACATGTGTGGATGTTGCTGCATTATATAAAACTCTTAGAATAGCTTTTCACAGTTTAGAATGGTTTGCCTCAAGACTGTCCATAATTTTAAAGGGTGCCTCAGGACTGTCCTCCATAATTTGAAAGGGTGCCTTGACTGAAAAAAGGTTGAGAAACACTGTTCTAAAGTAATGGTGACATGGACATAAAACATTTAAACCATTAAAGAATGTTTTTTTATTTAATAGCACACATTTCCATTTGTAAAAAATATATATTTCATTTTGTCCTAGGCTACTGTGGATCCTTTCTTTCACCAATAGTAGTATGCAGGCAAAGGAGACCCTCTAGAGGTAGGAGTTTTATTTGTGGAGGTCAGGACAGCTAGAATTCAGGTAGATAAATTACAGGATCTAGAAAATATATAGCCAGATGTTGTAGAAGTTTCAAATAAAAAACCAAAGCACTTTGGTGGCGCATTATGCAAAATGGGTATCTGGCCTTCTGTGACTTCAGAGGCAGACATCTTTAGACGTTCCCATAATATTTAAATAAAAAATTGTGCAGTTGTCCACTTAGATAGAGTATTCCCAGCTGCAGGGAACCGTTGCTAGGGCAGGAATGCATCTGGGAGAAGCACTCAGAAAGGAAGAGGATAGACAACAATACAGCCTCCAAGCCAGGAGATCAGAGGACAGCCAGCTGTTAGGAGAATGTAAGCTGGCTGCCCCTCTCAAATTATTTTTTTCAGCTAACCATTGCAACTCCCTTCACATAGAGCAAAGTTCCGTGCGGCAAAGATACCACAGGTCAAAATTGCATAAAATCAGTGATTTTCTGAGGCAGGAACTGTCAGATACAGAGCTGAAGAAAGAAAAGTTTATCCAAGTCTTCAAGTGGGTCCTAGTAGTGAAGATCTAATTGAAAATCTCTGTTACTGGGTACTGACCACAAGGTGGAAGGGATATTCCACATCTGAAGCAGAGTTCCACTCACCCTGTCAAAAAATAAAAGTCAGCAGCTACAGCCACTTACCTGTCCCAAGGTGTGTCCCTCGCAGCCCGTTTCACAGGCCGTCCTGTATTCCAGGAGGCTGGCATCTTCAGTGAGGGCAACCGGCTGCGCATGCGCGAGTAGTGCTCCACTTCATGAATGGTTCTGCAGTCTTCTGGGACCTGTCACGTGTCCTAAAAGACTACAGGGAGGGAAGGAGGGAGGACACCTTGTGTTTCCGATCGCCTAGGCGATTGGACCGGAAGTGGGAGCGGGTACCTGTCAAATTCGGGTACCCGCTCCCCCCTCACCCCCCAAAGGTGCCAATCCTTAATGGGGATCGGGGGAGCAGTCCTTAAAGCGGAACGTCCCCTTTTGGGTGGAGCTCCGCTTTAAGAATAAGATAAAATACGCTTTTTAATATAAAATATACTTTTATCATATTAAACATAGAGTTGTAAATATTCTGTTTCCACATATTGACAAGGTGGTCTACAATAGAATGGGTTCCACTGCAAAGAAATTGAAGAAAATCCCAGAAACTTGCAATTCAGCACTGTTGTAATTTTAGGCACTTTTTGATTACGTATGTGATTATTTCTATTATTTTAACCATGTGCCAACCAACATATATATATATATACATCCTGGTCAGCAAGTGGTTATAACAGGAATTTTACATCTTGAAATGTTTGGTAAGTATTTACTTGATGCAACATCATCTTTTATATTTTACAAAAAAAATTGGGAAATATATTGTGTTTGTGTGCATTAAAATTCATTTAGGTGTATTTTTTCCTGAAAATTAGCATTTGAAAAATGGCTACGCAAATATTGTGTGACATAAAAAATTGCAACAGCCACCATTTCATTCTCTAGGACCTCTACATTCAGAAAATATATAACATTTGGTGGTTCCAAGTAATTTTATTGCAAAAAATTCAGATTTTAACATGTGCAAAAAATAAAAAAAATGTCCCAACAGGCAACCGGTTCAAGTAGTAAAAAGTAGATCTGTTGATAAACCTAGATGTTCACTCACACCTGCACCACAATCTTCTCATACAGTTACATTTAATCCAGAACAATTTTCATATAAAAAGTCTCCAAAAATTCCAGGTGTAACACCAGACCAAGGTAAATCATTGTTTTCTACCTTGTGACTGTGCAATTCAATTAAAAACAAGAATACAAAATAAAAACTTACAATAATGTGGTTGCATAAATATGCACACCCTTAAAGTAATATTTTGTTGAAGCACATTTTGATTTTATGACAGCATTCAGTCTTTTGGTTGTAGGGGTCTATCAGCATGGCACATCTTGTCCTGAGAATCTTTCCATACTCTTTCTTGCAAAAGCACTCCAAATCTCTCAGATTGCAGGAGCATCTCCTAAGCATAGCCCTCTTCAAATCACCCCACAGATTTTCAATTGGACTGCCTGGGACATTCCAAAACTTTGATCTTCTTCTGATTAAGCCATTATTTAGTTGATTTAGAGGTAAGCTTTGGGTTGTTGTGCTGAAAGGTGAAATTTCTCTTCATCTTCAGCTTTTTAGCAGAGGCCAGAAGGTTTTGTGCCAGAATTGACTGATATTTGGAACTTTTCATAAGTTCCTCCACCTTGACTAAAGCCCCAGTTCCAGCTAAAGAAAAGCAGCCCCAAAGAATAATACTGCCACCACCATGCTTCACTATGGGTATGGTGGGGTTTTTTTGGTGATGCAGTGTTGGGTTTGTGCCAAAATAACCAGTACTTGCCAGAAATTCCTGCAGCTCCTTTAATGTTGCTGTAGGCCTCTTGCCAGCCTCCTGGACCAGTTTGCTTTGTTGTTTTAATCAATTTTGGAGGAACGTCCAGTTCTTGTTGCTGTCACTGTCGTGCCATATTTTCTCCATTTGTTGATGACAGTCTTCACTGTGTCCCATGGTATATCTAATGCCTTGGGAATTTTTTTTGTACCCTTCTCTTGATTGATACCTTCCAATGAGATCCCTTTGATATTTTGCAAGCTTTTTTCAGACCATGGCTTTTGCTGTAAGAGGCAACTGAATAGATGTCAGGAAAATCCTACTAGAGCAGCTGAACTTTATATGGATTAAAGTAGAACTACAGATTTAGTCATACTTTTATAAGAGTCGCTTTCATTGATGGCAGGTGTCTACTGACCACTATTTGACATCGGTTTGACAGTGATTGGTTCATTCTGAACATAGCCACATGCCTGAATATAAGAGGGTGTGCACACTAATGCAGCCACATTATTTTTTTTTACCCCCACTAATCAATTTCAGATTGTGTTTAACTAGATTGTACAGTTTATAGGCCACATTAAAGGTGGAAAAAAATCTAAAGGGATTTATTTTGGTCTGATTTTTTTTTACAGGGGTTTGTAGACTTTTTTATATGCACTGTATATAGTACATTAATGGAACATTATTAGTATATTAATGGTGGAAGAAAAGTACATTATTCCAGTTATAGTTTGCTTCTAGGCACATTGTTGAGAAGACTGTTCACAAAGCTGTTCAGTGTGTCTGTATATTCTTCTGTGTGTTTCCTTAAATGTCCTGCATGTATAGAGTTTTGCCATTTCTTTCCCTGTACTTTGATTCCTAGTTTTTCCCAGAATTGCAGAAGCTCCTCCAACACTACATGATCACTTAATGGGTCATTTAAACAGTAGAAGAAGAGGGCTGGGCAGTGAACAGGTTTTTCCCAGAAGGCTTGAATACTCCTCTCATAATAATCTACTGTTTGAGATTTCAGGAGTGAAAAGTATAAAAGCGTTCCTCGTACCACAAGTGGCTCTAACAGAGAAGAGCTGACCATTCGGGCAACACCTGGGAACAGAGAAAAAAAAATACTTATTTATACCTTACACTAGGTACATAGATTAAATTAGTGATCAATAGAATAGGAAAGGATAAAGTATATGTGCAGGGAATGATCTAACTAAATGCAAGCAATGTGGGAAAGTGCACATTTTGAAGGGGTTGCATGCAGTATTAATGAAAAAAACAACATATAATTTAGGAGACCGACAAAAGTGGGGCAATTTATTAAAAAAAAAACACATGAAAGTGAATAGTCCTGTTGGCCAGTTATCCGTAATATACCAATTAAATGCTTTAAAGTGATTCTAAAGGCTTATTGTTTGTATAGAAAAAATAACAAACATGTCTATACTTACCTGCTGTGTGCAGTGGTTTTGCACAGAGCTGCCTGGATCCTCCTCTTTTTGGGTCTCCCACTGACACTTCTGGCCCCTTCTGTCGGGTGCCCCTACAGCAAGTAGCTGTATGGGGGCACCCGCTGCTCCGTGTGTCCATTCACAAACAGAGCAGTGGCTCGGCCCCGCCCCCTCTCTTTTCTCAGTGGCTCACTGGCTATGATTGACAGCAGTGGGAGCCAATGGTTCCTGCTTCTGTCTCAGCCAATAAGAGGGAGTTCCAGAATAGCGGGACTCCAGTGCACATCGCTGGATTGAGAGGGGGCTTAGGTGAGTATTGGGGGTCTGGGGGGATGCTGCACACAGAAGGTTTTTTTTACCTTCATGTATAGAATGCATGAACGTAAAAAACTTTGAGCTTTCACAACCACTTTAAACTTCCTGTCAGATGGCCTTGCTTTTTTTTGCCCACATATGTCCTACAGTCATGCTAACTGAAGGTCACATCAAAGTTTTCCCCATGAACATCAGAGTACAGTATATCTTTGAAAGGACCATGTAAAATTTTAATTTGTGTCATCTAGATATTTGCCCACCAAGGGTCATTCAATGCAACAAAACACTGTGGTTGATTTACTAAAGGCAAATAGACTTTGCACTTTGCGGGTGTAGTTGAACTCATTTTTTCCAGAGGTTAGTGAATGTGGTGAAGCTTCACTTGTAGAGAATAGGAAAAGAAAAGGGGGGTTACAATTTTAGCTCCCCTTTTCTCATGGGACTGTGACAGGAACAAGATATATATATATATATATATATATATATATATATATATATATATATATATATATATATATATATATATATATATACACACACACACACTATATTGCCCACTGCCCACTGTATTGGGACACCTGCCTTTACATGCGCATGAACTTTAATGGCATTTATGGACCTTGTTTTGTGCACTTGTACGCAGTCATGTTGGAACGAGAAAGGGCCATCCCCAAACTGTTCCCACAAAGTTGGGAGCATGAAATTTTCCAAAATGTCTTGGCAGGCTAACGCTTAAAGAGTTCCCTTCACTGGAACTATGGGGCCAAGCCCAACCCCTGAAAAACAACCCCACACCATAATCCCCCCTCCACCAAACTTTACACTTGGCACCATGCAGTCAGGCAAGTACAGTTCTCCTGACAACCACCAAACCCAGACATATCCATCAGAGAGTGATTCGTCACTCCAGAGAACACGTCTCCACTGCTCTGGAGTCCAGTGGTGGCGTGCTTTACACTACTGCTTCCGGCGCTTTGCATTGCACTTGGTGAAGTAAGGCTTGAATGAAGCTGCTTGGCCATGGAAACCCATTCCATGAAGCTCTCTATGCATTGTTGTTGTGCTAATCTGAAGGCTACACAAAGTGTGGAGATTTTTAGCTATTGACTCTGCAGACAGTTGGCAACTTCTGTGCACTGTGCGCTTCAGCATGCGCTGACCCCGCTCTGTCATTTTGTTCCCAGTGGATTCCACTTTGTTATAATGCCACTAACAGTTGACCATGGAATAGTTAGTAGCAAGGAAATTTCACGGATGGACTTATTGAACAGGTGACAACCTATCACAGTACCATACTTGAATTCACTGAGTTCCTGAGAGCGACCCATTCTTTCACAAATGTTTGTAGAAGCAGTCTGCATACCTAGGTGCTTGATTTTATACACCTGTGGGCCAAGAAGGTGATTGGATCACCTGAATCCAATGATTTGAGGGGTGCCCCAATACTTTTGGCAATATAGTGTTGTGTATATATATATATATATATATACACACACACACACAGGGCTCCAAAATTTCCTTCCACTCGCCTGCTCGCAAGTGGAAATATGGTGGGGGCAAGTGTGTACAAACTGCAGCAGGTGACATTGCCAGTTGGGATGATTGGTGCAGTGGTGGGGACAGCTACAAGCACTGATCTCCCAGTATGGCTTTCAATGAAGCACCTGAAAGCCGTGGGAGGGAGAGGAGATGCGGCGTCCAGCTGCTTCACTGAAAGCCATACAGCGAGATCAGTGCTTGTAGCTGTCCCCACCACTGCACTGATCATCCCCTGACTGTCAATTGGATTTCTCTTTCTGGGTCCCCCCTCCTGTGTCCAGCCCCTCCTCTGATCCTCCACACCAATAAGAGAGAGAGAGGCTGGATCTGCTCTGCCTCCCCCTATGCCTGCCCATACTCCAGTCCGTGCAGCTTCTCAGAAGAGGATGTGTGGGCAGGAAATTGTATACAGAGCAGCTTTCCTTCGTTCCAAATGTCTCTCCCCTCCTCTCCTCCTCTTTCCTATACTGTCCTCCAGCAATAGCGTTCACGAGTGCAGCCAAAAGAGTTTAGTTTTGTGTGGTAGTAGTGGTCCCATGTGGGGACATCTCATACAAGGGGGACTGTGATGGGACACCTAATGTAAAGGGGGACTCTGATGGGACTCCTGATGTAAAGGGGGCTCTGATCGAACACCTGATGCAGAGGGCACCTGATGGGTGTTTATTTAATATTATTTTTTTTTACTTTATTCTGCATAAAACATTTAACAGTGTCATTTTATAAGATAATTTAAGAGGGTGTGTTTAGGGGCAGAGTAGGGGTTGGGTGGGTCAACTGGTGGCGAGTAACTCTTAAGGCCTGACTAGTAGCTCAGGACTTGAAATTTTGAGCCCTGTGTGTGTGTATATATATATATATATACTGGAGAGACTATTCTAGGAGGTCAGCAGGCTTTAGGTCTCCCCTTTTGCCTGAGGGTAGAGTGGAGACTTCTAGAAGTTTGATGTTTTAAGCCCCCCACTAGCCTTTGATATATGGGGAAGCTTCTAGAAATTAGGGTGCAGCAGGAGGGACCACTGCCCTGGGCTCAGTGTAGGAGTGGGCACCTGGTTGTGAGCATGCAGAGGAATTTGTCAACCACCCTATGCCCAACCTCTGTTGCTGCTAAATCCTCCCAAAAAACAGCTGAAGCTGCACCTGTACCCATTGCCTGCCTCCAGAAAGGAGAAACTCGATCTCTAACAGGTTCGGATTCCTGTCAACCCCATTCTTCCCCCAACCCCCCCTCCCTGTCCTGCTGGATCGGGTCTGTCAAAGTAAGAGCAGCAGCTTCGGAAGGGGGGGGGGGGAGCGGCGCAAGCAAGACAACATTTCACTGCAGCCCTGATCATAGCGTGCCATCCAGCAGTCACCAAAGCTCAACCCAAGAAGGAATGAAGAAGTCAGAAGATGGATGGCAGACTACACTATTCTCATGTGAGTCCCAACTGTTCTGCCTGCAGCACTGTAGAGAGCTGTGCTGTACACCTGCACTGCACCTCGACAGGGTAGGTATAATGGAATGAAAGTAAAATTCTTGAGTATGTTAGATATATACTGGAACTTTTCAGATGCTACATATATAAATGCATTCCACAAAATCATTCTTTTTATAGTGTGTATGTGGAATACCTCTATGTAGCACCTGAAAAGTTGCATATGCCTAACATACTCAATAATTGAGCATTAAAAGAAACGTACTCACTTTTTCCTCTGATGTCTGGAAGCACTTTCTGCATCCTTTGTGGACTTGCATTTGAGCACAATTATCTCTATATATGGTTTTTAATCATCATTCTTTTTGTTTTCTTAAACTGTATCACTGTGTTTTGATTCGCGCTGCACTAATTGTATTGCAAAGTTTGACTTTTTGGGTATCTAATAACCTGTGCTAGCTGCTTTTTTATTTTATTTTTTAACCTTAGAGCAGAAATTCACATGTTTATATTGCTGTCCAAATTTGCCCCCCCTGCACTCCATCCAGAGTAGGGGGCTCTCTAATACAAGAGGTGTGCTCCTGGCCATATCATTAGGTGAAAACAGAGGGGAAAAAAATCCTTTAAAAAGAAAACTAATACAGCTATCACATCTAATGATTGGTAAACTGAAATATATTAAATGTTTGTTTTTTTTTCGGGGGGGGGGGGATACTGCTTATATCCTCTGCCCCTAGACTAAATGTGCAGCTAACCTATGCAGTGTGAGGAGACCCACTGCAAGGGTAGATTTTTTTATTTCCCCGGAGTTGGAATTGAAACCTTTATAATGAAAAAATAAAGTCGGAGAAGACAATTGGGTCAGGCAGGTACACCTTACTCCTGCACTCTGTAGGTTATCTGTTCATGACTCCTGCATTCTATATAGATATAATGATCAGGTGTGGATAAAATGAATTATCATGCTTAACACGGGGGAAGGGGGGGTTCTGCAATTTGGTATGTTCGCCCTGGGCACTGGATGGCCTTGTCCCAGCACTGGATACACCAATCATATATCATAACTTGGCATCTGAAAGTTGGTGCGATATATTAGGCTGCAAGTAAAATGTTGTCCCTGAAGTTGATTTGGTGAAAGCAGAAAAAATGGGTATTGCAGTTTGCTGTGTATGGGGCTGTCTAGCTGCAGACAGGTCAGGGTGCCCAGGCTGACATGTATCTACAGCCAAAAGCATCTACAATTGGCACGTAAAATGGCACCCGGATGCAGTATGGGAAGAAAGCAAGACGGTGTGATGCCTTGAGCAATGTTCTGCTCCAAAACCTTGGGTCCTGACATTCACGTGGATGTTACTTGCCACGTACCACCTACCTAAACATTGTTGCTGACCAAGTACACCCCTTCAAGGAAATGGTATTTCCTGATGGCAGTGGCTTCTTTCAGCAGCGCAATGCGCCCTTCCTACACTGCAAAAATAGTTCAAGAATGGTTTGAGGAACACAACGAGTTCAAGGTGTTGACTTGGCCTCCAAATTCTGCAGATATCAATCCAATCGAGCATCTGCAGGATGTGCTGTAAAAACAAGTCCAATCTATGGAGACACCTCCTCACAACTTACAGGACTTAGAGGATCTGCTACTGACAGCTTGGGGCCAAATACCACAGCATACCTTCAGAGGTGCTAGTAGCTTCCATGCTTCTATGGGTCAGGGTGTTTTAGCGACAAAAAGGGGACCTACTCAATATTAGGTGGGTGGTCATAAAGTTATTTCTTATCAGTGTATATATTGATCACACATAAGAGATAAAAAACACTGTTATAAAGGCATGAAAATACATTTTAATCATATGAAAATGTAGCATGTGGTAACAGATGTGACAACACAGGACAGGACAACACAAAAAAAAAAAAAAAAAAACTCCTTTACCTGTTGCCATCCTTTCCATGCTGCCTATCACAAGACTGTCAAACACTTGGCCATGAATCCTTTCCAGCATCTCTTGTTGTTGCTTGGATGAACACACCAACATCTGTGCAAAAATGTACCCTCCAACAGACATGGCATGGATAAAAAGTCTGCGAGAAGAAAGATCCTCTTGTCCCATCATAAGATCCAACAACTGTCTTGCATGTTCTAGTCCTGTCCTAGGCCACAGAAAATGTGACAGCGAGCTCTCTGCTACAAATACGTCAAAGCCCAACTTGAAGTAGAGATGAATATATTTTTCATGAGATTTAGGCTTTGATCCAAGCCATGGAAGAAACAGTAAAAGTGGACGAGACTGGCTGTTTGCTGAGGTAGAAGGATTTGTGTACAAACAAAATGAATTTGAGAATTTCTTTACATTAAGAGAATGCGGTAAAGTATCTGGAGCTTGTCCTTTTGGTACAATTCCAGATGCTGGGGCCATAGCAAGGTCAAGAGGCTGTGAACGGACTTGATAGTGGAGGTAGCAACTCTGGAGAAGAAAAAACAGCGATTAGTTATACAGGCAATGTAATAATTACATTTAATTGCACTTTTTCTGCGATGTTGAAGATGTTACTGGGTGAAAATACATGCACAAGTAGTTAAAGTGGTTGTATTGCTGATCCCTGATGTGGACCCCCATTCTCAGCAACTTTCAGGAGGATTCTCAGACTGGAAAATTATAATATCCAGCAAGTCCAGCATGACAGGAAGAGGTTTTTCTTTTGTTTTGTTTTCTATCATTAGTTTCCATCTTTTGAAAACATTTGCTCTTTCATGTACTGATTTAGGGGTTAAGCTTTTTTTTTACTAGAAGCACTAAAGAATAAAAACACCTTCCTCGCTCATCATCAGGTGAGATCATAAGAGCAATAGATTTTTCCAAGGCCAATTTGAGTTTGGTTCTGGTAAGGACATCTATGGGGCGGTCTTGAAGTACAGAGGAGTAACTTGACAGATTAGAGCTACAGTAGTCCCAATCTATATCCCCAAGAGATGACCTAAAGTATTCTTGAAGTGATTTCCACCCAGAACATCCCCCCAACTAGAATTTTTGAGTCATGGCTTCAGGGAAGGATTGGGAGTGTCTTGTTTTGGGTTGAAGATGAATCCTCTTCCCCATTTGAAATTTTCAGTTTGTCAATTTTTTGCTTGATGTTATCCCTCCTTGGAGAGACAAAAATATTTTTGTCTACGAGAGGTCATCTTTTTTTCTAGAATGTCTGTCCTCTTGTTTCTCTGTATTATCTAGAATCTTAGATAGTTTGGCACCAAATATGTATGCTCTTGTCAGGGTCACGTTTCCCCACCAAGCTCCAAGTTAGGTAGCTCTTCTGGCAGAGTTGAACAAAGCCAACATTCTTACTGCTAACCAAACCTCATCCCCTGAAGCATCACAGATACAGTCTACTGCCATGACTGGGAGGGGAGGCCATAATGCCCTTTTTAGCATTATGTTAAATTAGATGGCACTGGAACTGTTATTTTTACTAGAAGCACTAAAAAATAAAAACACCTTCCTCGCTCATCATCAGGTGAGATCATCAGAGCAATAGATTTTTCCAAGGCCAATTTGAGTTTGGTTCTGGTAAGGACATCCATGCGGTGGTCTTGAAGTACAGAGGAGTAACTTGACAGATTAGAGCTACAGTAGTCCCAATCTACAGTTGCAAGAAAAAGTATGTGAACCCCTTGGGATTACGTGGAGTTTTGCATGAATTGGGCATAAAATGTGCTCTGAACATCATCTAAGTCACAACAATAGAAGAACACAGTCTGCTGAACATAATACTACACAAACATTAGATGTTGCCATGGTTTAATTGCACATAACATGTAAACATTCACAGTGCAGGGAGGAAAAAGTATGTGAACCTTTGGACTTAATAACTGGTTGACCCTCTTTTGGCAGCAATAACCTCAACCAAACGTTTCCTGTAGTTGCAGATCAGACCTGCACAACGATCTGGAGTCATTTTGAACCACTCCTCTTCACAAAACTGTTTCAGTGTAGCAATATTCTTGGGATGTCTGGTGTGAATCGCTCTCTTAAGGTCATGCCACAGCATCAATTTCAATTGTGTTGAGGTCAGGACTCTGACTGGGCCACTCCAGAAGGCGTATTCTGTGCTGTTGCAGCCATTGTTTTGTTGAATGACTTGTATGCTTTGGGTCATTGTCCTGTTGCATCACCCATCCTCTGCGGAGCTTCAGTTGGCGGACAGAAGGTCGTACGTTTTCCTGCAAAATGTCTTGATAAACTCTGGAATTCATTTTCCCATCAATGACAACAATCCATCCAGGCCCTGAGGCAGCAAAGCAGCCCCAAACCATGATGCTCCCTCCGCCATGTTTCACAGTAGGGATGAGGTTTTGATGTTGGTGTGCTGTGCCTTTTTTTCTCCACACATAGTGTTGTGTGTTCTTCCCAAACAACTCAATCTTGGTTTCATCTGTCCACAGTATATTTTGCCAGTAGTGCTGTGGAACATCCAGGTGCTCTTTTTGCAAACTTCAAACATGCTGCAATATTCTTTTTGGACAGCAATGGCTTCCTCCGTGGTGTTCTCCCATGTACTCCATTCTTGTTTCATGTTTTCCTTATTGTAGATGTGTCAGCAAAAATGATAGCATGTGCCAGAGATTTCTGTAGGTCTTTAGCTGACACTCTGGGATTCTTCTTTACCTCATGCAGCATTCTGCGCTGTGCTCTTGCAGTCATTTTTACAGGACGACCACGCCTAGGGAGAGTAGCAACAGTGCTAAACTTTCTCCATTTGTAGACAGTCTGTCTTACCGTGGACACATGAACATCAAGGCTTTTGGAGAAACTTTTGTAACCCTTTCCAGCTTCATGCAAGTCAACAATTCTTGATGGTAGGTCTTCTGAGAGCTCTTTTCTGCGAGGCATGGTTCACATCAGACAGTGCTTCTTGAAACCAGTAAACCCAAAACAGGTGTGTGTTTTTTAAGGGCAGGACAGTTGTCAGCAACACATCCAATATCATTGCACTGATTGGAGTCAAGGTTGGCTCACTCCTGGCTCCAATTAGCTCTGGGAGAAGTCATTAAGCTAGGGCATCACATACTTTTTCCCCCCTGCACTGTGAATGTTTACATGTTACGTGCAATTAAACCATGGCAACATCTAATGTTTGTGTAGTATTATGTACAGCAGACTGTGTTCTTCTATTGTTGTGACTTAGATGACGTTCAGAGCACATTTTATGCCCAATTCATGGAAAACTCTACGTAATCCCAAGGGGTTCACATACTTTTTCTTGCAATTGTATATCCCCAAGAGATGACCTAAAGTATTCTTGAAGTAATTTCCACCCAGAACATCCCCCCAGCTAGAATTTTTGAGTCATGGCTTCAGGGCAGGATTGGGAGTGTCTTGTTTTGGGTTGAAGATGAATCCTCTTCCCCATTTGAAATTTTCAGTTTGACAATTTTTTGCTTGATGTTATCCCTCCTTGGAGAGACAAAAAATATTTTTGTCTACAAGAGGTCATCTTTTTTTCTAGAATGTCTGTCCTCTTGTTCTCTGTATTATCTAGAATCTTAGATAGTTTGGCACCAAATATGTATGCTCTTGTCAGGGTCACGTTTCCCCACCAAGCTCCAAGTTAGGTAGCTCTTCTGGCAGAGTTGAACAAAGCCAACATTCTTGCTGCTAAAGAAACCTCATCCTCTGAAGCATCACAGATACAGTCTACTGCCATGACTGGGAGGGGAGGCCATAATGCCCTGTTTAGCATTATGTTGAATTAGATGACACTGGAACTGTTATCTGTAGGGCCCATGCGACCTCTGTTGTTGCTGTATGAGGTGTAAATGCCATTGCTGCTTATTCCCATGTCTTTATAAAGATTTTTTCACCCTGTCTATCCATTGCCTCTATTAATAATCCCAAATCGCCAAAGCGTCAGTTTGACTGTTCAATTACAATAGTAATGATAGAACGTCAATCTTGGGGTTTTATGCCATAATTTTGTATTTTCCTCAGAAAATGAATATCTACTTTTTATGATGTACAGTTAAATAATTTTCTGTCCAGTGCTTTCTATTCTTTAGCAGTTAAAGCAGGAAAAGGTTTTTATGAACAGAAAGCAATTTTCTTCCAATTCATGCGTCTATTTCAAATTACAGTACATCTGGTCTTCAACAGACAATTGTTGCACATTTTCCTTTTTATTCATTTGATCTTTTTATCTACATCATCTTCAGTAAACTGTTTATCTCTTCTACCAAAAAAAAAAAAAAGAAACTAAACTTTTTCATTTCAATTGGCAGCATTTACTCCCCTTCCAGAAAACCTATTACTAAAGTCCTCTGAGAAGGTGTCCTCTTCAATGTTTTTGTCTACTTTGTCTAATAATGAATCTGAAGCAGGTAGATGAAGCTTCTGCTGTGGCTGCACTACAGAAAAAGCTACCAATAATTGTAGAAATAATAAAATTTCATTTTTCCAAAAATACATTACAAATTGCAGCATTGATATATATTTTTTTCACTTACAGTCTTATTGGTTCAATTTATATGTAGCTTTTTCTTGTAAGAATCTGCCAGTTTAACACTACAAAGAGCACATTGTTTGGACTGGCGCCCTTGTAACATAAGCCAGATGCAATGTACAGGCTTACCTCCCTGCTCCGCACAGTACTGTGGCCGATCACGTCAGTACCCAGTGCATGCACACATTAAAGCAGAGTTCCACCCAAAAGGGGAAATTCCACTTTAAAGATTGGTCCCCCACTCCCCATTAAGGATTGGCACCTCTGGGGAGCAGGTACCCGAAGTTGACAGGTACCCGCTCCCACAAGTTGTCCTCCTACTCTCCCTCCCTTGTGGGACACGTAACAGGTCCCAGAAGACGATGGGGCCATTCAGGAAGCGCAGCGCTACTCGCACATGCGCAGTGGGCACCCGGCTGTGAGGCCGCAAGCTGTCACAGCCGGGTGCCCACACTGAAGATGCCGGCGCCTGGAATACAGGACGGCCGGTGAAATGGGCTGCCGCAGGGGCACCGCGGGATTGTGGGACAGGTGAGTCGCTGTTTTTTAAAAGTCAGCAGCTACAGTTTTTGTTGATGGGGAGCATTTATTCCTATAAGGACCAGGTTCCTTGGACAGTTAGGGAGTTGTATATCCAGACCCAGCCCTCCAAGCTTGTATCTGCTGATAGCACTTTCTCAGGGCGAGGGAAGTAACAATTTCCCAGATTCTAGGGCTGAGTTGGAAGTCCACCATGCCAGGAAGATTATCGCTTGGCTAGACAGTAGTTGTGCGCAATCCAGAGCAGGGATGTTTAATTCCTATCGCCCGACGCCTAGGACATGCAGTTCCGTGCGTTGGACAAGAGGTTTTGTTCTACATTTAGCCCTGCTGCAGGCTACTCCGACGCTAGCAGAAGCTGAAGACAGAGAAGCCTGGCTAATAGTATGCCAGCACAAAACCCTCACTGCTCAGCACATGACAGCAGAGGAGA